GAAAACAATCGACAACGTAGCCCACTCCGCCATTATCGAAAAGCTACCATTAACGAAACTGGTCGGCTACATGAGAGACTTCCACTCGAACCGCTCAATTGCAATCAAGATGGGTGACTACAGCAGCCCAAAACAAAAGCAACAGGCCGGGGTCCCGCAAGGAGCCATTCATTCACCGATTCTCTTCAAACTGGTCCTCAAAAACCTTCCAGGTCAACTTGAAAGGATACCGAACCTAAAGTCTGCACTCTACGCAGATGACATAACCCTCTGGTGCAATTGGGGCTCCCCAGAACACCAAGAGAAGATACTACAGGAGGGACTTGACACCAGTCAAGCATAGGCCAAAGCCATCGGACTGCGGTGCACACCGGACAAATCCCAGTACATCGTAGTACTGAACAGTAACAGCAAACCATCTGAGCAAACCAGAAACCTAATCACTCTAAAATTAGACGGTCACGTGATAACAAGGCAACAATCCACACGAATCCTGGGTTTTTACCTAGAACAAAGCGAAAAAAGGAACAAATGGGCGCAAAGAATAGTAACACAAATAGACCAGATCATCCACATGCTAGAATGGTTGACACGGAAAAGAGCGGGCGTGAAGGAACACGAGTTGAGGAAGACGATTGAGGCACTTATCATCTCTAGACTCATGTACGGGTTTCTATAGATGAACATTACTAAAACACAAAAAGAACTGAATTAAAACGCATCTTAGAAAGGCAACTCGCCTGGCGCAATTGGTGCCAACATTTACCTCCTTGGCCAAAATTGAGGAAACCGGCATCATCAGCATCCTAGAGGAAAGAACAGACCTGCGCAAAGCAGTGCAGTATCAGGGACTGCAGACGTGTAAATAAGGCAGGAGAATTCTAAAAAAAAATAGACTACGAAACCCAAGGCCTACCAGCCATACCAGACCAGACACCACCATGGAACGGCATACCCCGAGAAAACACCAATCCAATCCCTAAGAACAAGAAGCCCAACAAAAACCAAGGCCGAAGATCCCAAGTCAGACAGCGAATCATCAGAGAGCAGGAACCCAAAACCTCTACTACACGGACGCCAGCTACGACCCTGAAAATAAGACATTCACAACCGCTATAGCGGGTCCAAAAACATAAACAACATACAACCGCAAAGACGCACCCTCCGCCACCAGTCTAGAAACCCTGGCCATAGCAGAGACCGTCAGAGACCACGCGGCCGAGAGGGACATCATAATTAGAACAAACCGCCGAAGAGCCGAACGCAAGTTCGGAGGCAATATCCTGCCCTCCCACGTTGTAGTTATGCTAGGAGACGCCAGGACCAACCATCCCAACACCACAGTAACCACAGAGTGGACACCGGGGCACGAGGGCATAGAGGGTAATGAGCTCGCCCACGAGCTCGCCCGCGGAAACTCCAATCCGGCAACCCCATTTCATGGTCCCAATCATATGACCCCTACATTCATGGTATTTTTATGCACAAACAGAGAACCAAGACGCTCAATGAGCTCAGAGAAAGCAAAGTTTTACTAAACAGCCCTTCTTACTTATTAAACAAAGAAGACTCCATCATAGAGCACAGGGCGCAGACTAGAGCCCTAATGACAGAACACCTCAAGCACTATACTAGAGGCGCAGAAGGCGTTCCACGATGCAGTACCTGCAACCGGTACCCCAGTAATGTCCATCCACTTTCAGATATCCCCAAGGTAGCAGCCAGAACTCGAGCAACACTGCAAACCCTTCCAGACAGACCAAAGCCGGAGAGCTGGGACGACTGGGCCAATCCCCCTGCCGGGAACGAAGTAACCCTCTGGCCGCTCTTGGTTAAACATGTAAAAGACGTGCTGGGCGAGGAGTGGTGGAACAAGACCCAGGACATATATTAAGGTGTAAGTAAAAGGTTTAGTTTCTCTGTCTCTCTCTCTGGTCGAGTAAATACGCTACAATAAAAGTTAATCAATTCGAGTGAAAGAATGCGACATGTCATTTGCCGAGTTAGCGAACATCTCACAGAATACAGGCAATACACAGCTTTGCTCGCCTACCTAATCACTCATCACGTTCTTCCTGTTATACCTGTGAACTTGGAAAGTATACCCTGTTGTCGTAGTTGGTGCGTAATGAAATAACTTGCTCAGATGCGAGAGTCGTCAATTATCAAACTACTCGAAGATGCAAGCGATTCAAGCGAAACCTTATTGTTCGAAAAAACTGATTTCTCAAATTCAGAAATTTGTTCGGAATGTAACAAGTCGCCTCCGTCATTGAATATTTGGTGCCTTCCTGGTCGACTGCCACAAAATATTTGAATCGCGATTAGTAAATTCACGTACCAATTTAAGTAAGTCACCATTTTTAGTTGCAAGCGAATTAATGTTAAAACCAAGAAAATTTGGGGAATGCACTAGTTTGTTAAGACTGAAAGGTGGTATTGAAACTTTAGGCGCATGTGTTTTACATTAAAAGTTGTAAAACGTGGGCTATTCTTCCGTGACCAGAGAAAGCTGTACTGCTTTCCGCGATGCATCGAGAACGCTCTAGCTCTCACCCTTTATAAACAAATTTAACTTTATTTCGCACCAGTGCTTTTCTTATTGTCTTAGGCCTAAGACTTTCGAAAATTGTATGTCGATGAATATTTTATGGTATGCAGGGTTTGACAATCATTGCATAAAAATCTCATGATGGACAGAACTTGGGAGTCGACGGCCCGTTCTATGAACTTTAACGGGATTGGGGCAAAAAGGCAAACCGCAAAACATGACCACAGTCTCACGAGGCGGCATCAGGCGGCGACAAATAGAGGATGGAACTCAACTGCGAATGCTCGATTCGCAAGTGCAGTACTCTCGCCGGTCTCAGACGTGAAGGGATCTTACTGTTTGGCTGAGCCTCGTAGTAAGAATTCGTACGATTTATAACGGGCCGTAAAACTTAAACAAGCTGCATTTTAAGCATGTTTTTTTTGTGACTACCTTACCTCCAGAAAGCCTCATGTACTCAACAATTAAGATTGACGAATACCTTATTTAGATGAAGAAGTAATTTGGATCTGGTTGTATAGGTTAATCCCGTATTGCTTTACTCTTTCTTTTTTTTTCTTATTTTCACTCCTGGGTTTTTTGCAATTCAAGGAAGTAAGTTTCAGCACTTTATGAACTGTGTTAACGATCCGTTTCAATAGGGTGTCCTATGTCACCAGGCACGATCTAAAATAAACCGTCAAAATCGACCCCTGCACGTAGGAATCTAGGCTTTTCGTCAAAGGTGTATTTCACAGGTCGGTTTCTTGTAAAATTACAAAGCGTAGCTCCCTTTTCTGTAAACTATAGGGCCAAGAAACTTGCCAGGGTCAACGGCGGACGGCGACGCAGATGACCAAGTCGAGTGGCGGGGCGCGCTTGGCGCTCGTATTGATAGATGGCGCTGCCTCGTTATCGAGATGGCTCGCGACCAGCGTGGTTTATTAAAATGAGCACAATCTTTTTGCAATATACCTTTGGTTGAAAAATAAATTCGGGCAATAAAAGCAAAACTTAAAGTAAAAAGAAACGCGCCTGCATAACGACGGCGCTTTTGCTACTAACGGATTTCGTCTGCGTGTCGCATGCTTTCTTTCGCTGGTCGGCTGCACCATCGGAGGCTGCTCCCGACGCCATCTATCAATACGCGCGCCAAACGCACCCAGCAACTCGACTCGGTCGTCTGCGTCGCCGTTTGCCGTTGACCCTGATGAGTTTAATGGTCCTATCTTTTACGGAGAGGGGATACACTTTGTAATTTTACAAGAAAAAACCGACCCATGAAATACACCTTTGACGAAAAGTTTAGATTGCTAGGTGCACACGTCGATTTTTACGGTCCATTTTAAATCGAGCCTGGTGACTTGAGACAACCAATATTTCAGCTCTCGTTATGACCAGCTCCTTTTATTATATATGCGTGAAAGTTGTTCCGTCACCCCTTCTTTCCTCTCTCTTTCCAAGCACTCATGCTAATATAATGCCAGAGCAAAAATGTTTGTGTTCACCCTTAAAGGTGTAAATTATTTGTCCAAGGCAGCAACAGCCTTAGGATGCTAGTGGACTCTCTAAAAGAAGGGTGCTGGCGATATTAGCAGCATCCAAGGGATGATTTTTTTTCGTGCAAAAGGTTGACACGCAACAAGCACCACATGCAATTTTTACGTGAACATACTCAGAAATTACGCAAAAATAAATTCTTACAAAAAAAAAAAAAAGTTACGACTTTTTAACTGTTCTACCGTGTTATGTTGTCTAATCGACAATTCAAAGACAGCCATTTGTATTTCACCGCCTCCGCAATTGCAAAAGTGGCAAGTATACTGCGTTGTTCTCGTGAATATTGCATGAAAAAGCATAGTAATATCTAAATTCAAAGAATGTATCTACAAGTAAAGAGCACCGATAGAGGCAATAGCTATTCGACGTAGTTGCTAAAACAACCTCCTTTAAAGCTGTTGGAAGCAAATGTCAGTGCGGCAAACCTCCATCAAAGAGGGAGGGCGTTCCATGCAACCTCGCCCTATTTTAGAATTAAGAAGCTTGTATCGGCTCTAAATTAGGCTGCTAAAGGGTGCATCCATGAATAAAAATATCTGCAGGTACATCCTTTATACATTCTTAAAGTTGCAAAAAATGTCTCAGTGTGTAGCAGAAGAAACCGAGATTTCCGTTGCGCGTCAAAAGATCCCCAGGTGGTCGAAATTAATCCTCAGTCCTCCGCTGGGGCGTGCCAGATACCCTTCGTCGGTTTGGCACGTCAAATCTTCAATGTTCACTTGACCCCCAAGCATCTCGACAATCACGTGAGACACGCGTATGCACGAACCTCTTACACCACTACGACCACCTGAAAGCGAGACGCGCAACAAATAAACGAGACATCTACACGATGCACTGAATTACCGGCAGTCTATAGCGCGTTGTACCGAGATTACTTAGCGGCGAGGCTGTGCGAAAGACATGTTCCGGGCACAGTCCGACGGGCAAAACCCCGAGGAGCGCCAGTCGTTCCTTCCTATTTCCTCCTCTCAGCGCCCTCCCTGGCGGCAGGCGGGGGCGAACCCCGAGAGCGCGCCGAGCCGTCGGGCATCTTATCGATCCCGGCGGCTTTCAGGGACGGCTCAAATAGGCTCGTCAGAGCCGTGCCCCGTCAGAGCCAGTCAGGTGTACCGCACAAAGAGCTCCGTCCGTGGCAGCACACCAAGACCCGCAGAGACCGCAGGTACACGGCACGCTCGTGACAAGCACTAACCCGGTTCAACGGACGTCGGCAGCGGCTATTGGTCATCGCCTACGAGGAGAGTCTGCGACTCGTCGCCCCAAAAAAGGAGATTCCCTTGCCGGCGAGGTTCAACAGGTAACCAACACTTTCTGCTCTGCGAATAGGCCACGGCTCCTTGCTTCGCCGCTATATATTGTTTATATACATACGATTTTTTTTAGAGATATTTGCATCACCTTACTTGGTCTCTAAGAAAGCAATAGTCAAAAATATGGATACGCGTAATGCCAAACACCATACTAATCGGCTACCCCCCCCCCCCTCCCCCCCTGGCCGAAAAAAAAAGAGAAAAAATGTTGCTTTTTGGCGGCTTTGTAACATGTATCCACTTTGATCAGTAAGGATCATTCGTCAGCATATCTTCGACTATCTTTTTTTATATTTATATATACATATATATATACATACATGGATCTCATTTACCTCTTTTTACGAAAAAAAAAACTTCAGTTAGAGCTTCCGGGCTAAGGTAACAGATTACTATATTTATTTGGGTGTTCCGATTATCCATAATTTTTACATGCCGAAAAGTTCTGGCCATAATGCGAAGCAACGCCTCGTTTACTCTTTTTTTTTTTTACCCGTGCATTTTTAAAAGTAAAGCGTGTCGTTAGAAATTCAATCCGCATAACGTGGATAACGTGGATGTAGCTTTCTTCCTTGTGAACTTAAGACGTAGCTTCTAAGGTTGTGAGACAAAAGAAAGGCAGAATAAGCTACAAATATAACCCGTGTTGTAGTCTTCCTTGTTTACGAAAATCCCCAAAACGTAAAAATAGGAGCGAAAAAAAAACGCGAAATTTGTTTGCTAACTTGCGTTCGTTGAGTAATTACATTGCGGGGCTTCATAGCGTGCGTGTCCGCCCGGAGCAATCTCGGATTAGGTGGGGTCACTGCACCCTCCACGTCTCCAAGTCCGGACAGGATCACAATTTAATTTTTCGATTATTTATTGACCAGTGTCTCGAAACATGTCCCTTAGGGACGGAAAGGTTGGTAGGTTTCAATCAATATGCACGAGTGTACAGGTTACGTAAGGCTTTAATTAGATACGCGCGCTGACGCAGATTGCGTATTGCAGCAGTGTTTCGGCAACGAATGGTGACGGCGTGCGTTACGAGAGAATAACTTCCTCCCATCGCACGTGGTATTAAGTAAAGGGGAAGATAATTTAGTTTGAGCTCGGCTAATACCGCGTATCTCGCTGACTATAGTCCGCACCTGGTGCACTGTCCGCAAATACATTTCGGTAAAAAAAAAGTGCTTTCTTAACTACTTTGTATTTAGTGCCTATTCCACGGGTAAGCAACTATCATTCGTGGCACACCTTGACAAATGCCGGCTATACTTGCTCACAAATAGGCTTTTATCGTACATAAACCAACATTCCCCTGTCATTCAGAAGATCCCTCTCAACTAGTCACACTCAACGATCTAGAAAAAATATTCCGCGTATAGTCCGTACTTGTAGATAGACCGCACCTCGTAAAATTCCAAATTTTACACTTGTATAGTCCACAGACTATATAGAGTTCAGAAAAGAATGGACCAAAACTGTAAAATACGCGTAGTCTCAAATGCCTCAATAATGCAAGAATTTTCGCACGCCAGCCCAAATCATTCCAGCGACTAATTGTACTGAAATCCACGCTGAGCACCAGCGAAAAGTTCGAGAATTCAGAACGACCAGCCGAGAGCTTCAAGCTCCAAATAATTTTAAGTAGAGCCCCCTTGATAGGGTGAACCGTAAGCACACATAAGCACGTTGTCCAAAAGACAAAACATCCTTATATGCCAATAAAGTCTATAGCTTCAAAATAAAAACAATTTTCAACGAGAAAATTAGATCACGTCAGTTCCAGGTTTAATCCCAACCAAACGTTAAACCTCGCAGCTACTTAATTACTTTCATGCCAACGTAGAATCAAGGTATAAAAATGCGCTCCTTCTAAATTAAGTATCTCAGCCAATTGCCAAGTTCACCGCCGTTATAAATGATGCAACTTTCTGTGTTCTGGCCGTTCTCTATCCAGTATAAATGAGAGCAGCTCAGCTTCCCACTGTCGCAACAATGCACGGCTGTGCTGCCGTACCAGAGTCCGGGTTCCCGGGTAACGATATCGGTCTTTTCAGGACGTATCGCGGTTATCTTTGAGCACTTAAAGACAACGCCCCTTTTATTCTTTCCTGTACCCCGTTCGATCTAGTGTAGAAGGCTCTAATACTCGCATCCCTCGTTGATTGAGTATTGTACAGTGTACACTTCATCAGGTTACGCATGTTATTTCTTAAAGTGACGACAATATACTTCTAATTCTTTTTTTCTTCACACCCAATTACAGCAGTTTTTACCTAAAGTCATGTGTATAATATTAGCACACTTCTTAAAATAAAATATATTCTTGCAGTTGAAAGACACATCAAAAACAATTAAAAAAAAACGCGGTTGATACATACTAAAAGACGTGCGCGCGACAATTTCTTTTTCTTTCTCCATACCGATTTAAATATTAAGCTGTCTGTAACTTAAATGACCACATACCACAAAGATTATTGCTGTTCACAGAGATAACGCAGTAGACGCGTATGAAGAATAATATAATTATGCAGCAAATGTTTTACAAATCGAAGCTCTTAGAATAATAAGTAGCAAAGGTTCTGATCACTAATCAACCTGAGAGCTCTGACAGAGGTTTTTACCGAATTGAGATCAAACATCAAACCCAGTAGAGTACACACACAAAAAAAAATTCAACGGCGACATATCAAGTAGCAGTGTTCGCTACAACAATTGAGTAAACATTACTGCTACGCGGTTGAGTTTGTTCCGAAAATAGAACGAAAAGCTTTTTGCCTCCGAGAATAAAACAAAGAAAGATTGGGTATTACCAAACGCTTCTCCAATGCACACGTTTGAGCAAGTACTATGTCATTTTCAGCGCTAGCTATCCCAATCTGTGCAACATTTGACAGGGTTTACCTTCGTCAACGCAAACATCGGCCCCCAGTTCAATCATTGCTACGTTAAAAATCATGTTCATCATTCTCGTTCGCCTGGGTGGTATTTCATCAATTCTAGTTTCTAGCTAGAAAAAACCCAATTGAAAATAGTAGTACGCGTGCGTTAAAACGATCGTAGCACAGATATACAAAATAGGAGGTTGCGGTGCTAATGTGGACTCGTTAGGTGCTACCACATTAGGCAGCACTCCACTAATTGTTTACTAAGCAAACCAGGATTGTGCGCTGCTAAACGAAATTCTATCTAGGCAGAAACAGGAATGGTTTAAAATAACCTTAGCACGAGGTAAACTTTCAGTGTACTATGTTTCACCGAAAAAGATGTGGTTGTAGTACCGGGTGAAACGCACAATTTGCTAAACTCAACTTCTTAAATTTTTATTAAAGGTAAATTTTTAGTAGACAGGGTATCTTAATTAGTAGTATCTTAACTAATGATGTCTAGAGTGGTAATACAGCTCCTACGACGTCCGTACAATGTATTCAAATCCGTATTAACAGAACCATCGCCAATAATGTGACGGATGCAGATCTTGTTACCAGGAATGAAAGAAAGCTACCGTATGCACGTTCTGACTAAGATGCAATTAATGCGAAGGTACAAGTGAGCTGGACAAGAATGGCAACAATAATCCCTGGAGAAGAGGAACAAAGGGGACAAAGGACATCCCGGAAAACGGGAACAAAGGGGACAAAGGACATCCCTGAAAACGGGAACAAAGGGGACAAACGACAAACACAAATCTCCAAACACAGGTATAGGTGGCTGGTGCGCGACCTCTCAAGGAAACGTATGTACTACGTTTCTTTGTGATGTACAATGTAGCCTGACTGGTGGTCGGGCTGGAGGCCATACGAGAGGACGACATTCATCACACTCCACTATGTATATTAGAGGCGCCTGGAATTACTGCGACTCTTGTTTCACCTTTACGAAAAACCTAACTGGCGGTACCTGGTCTTCGCGAAGTCTGAGTGGCCAGTGATCAACGCCCTGAAATACATACAACCGATCTTTTTGTTTTTTTAACTTTGCTTTATAATGTAATTTTGTATTATGTTTTGAGAAGTCTTTTCCATCGGTCATAAGTAAAACACTATCGCTAGCATAATCGACGCTGTTTATTTTAGTTTTGTAACATATTCAATATAACAGAAGTGTTTCTTGCGTTCTCTCCAGTGTTACCTATTACTCGGTACATGAGCATACATCAATCATTTTCTTCGCGTGGTTCCATATGACGGGAACGTTTTTGCAAAATGAAAGAGCGGCCTGGAGAGGCGGGAGGGGGGGGGGGGGGGGGGGTAACTACTTTTTGCTACTTCCGTTGAAGAGAAATTATGCATGCGAACTGGTTACTAAACGACGTTTTAAACTTCCAGACAAGAAACTAAAATAATAAACAGGCATTGCAAAAGATTTTTGTATTTTGTTCTCAGTTTATAAGCGGTGACACAACCTTATTTCCAATTTTTTTATCATACTTTTTTTATTAAGACGCCGAATTTACAGGCTGCCTTCAATGATGGTGTGCCTTCTACCCTAACCATACTGTTTCACGAGATATCCTACCCCACTCGTGCCGCGATTTCGGTCCCACAACTATACTGTCTGCGCGCTCAACACCTACTGGGTCCTCAGCGGCGGTCACAGCCTCGTGACATTTTCATGTCATATGTTCGGACCAGCATCTCTTTCTTTCCTTTTCATGCCTGTTTAAAAATTTACTGTAAATGATCTGGCCCTTAAGGAACAGTGCTTAACTTCCTGTTCATTGATCAGTTTCTGTGTTCGTTACTCTACCATTCATCGAGTACGCTTATGTTCGCAAGTTTTCGTGTGGTTACGTAGCACTGCTCCCAAAGGTTATAGGAGAGACCAAACGCCAATTATACCAAACAAAGAAAACAACAGCATAATGGCACCACTAGAGCAGCAATAGGATCAGAACGAATTGCAGTGAAAAGTGTCAATAGAGAAACAATATAACAATAAATCAATGTTTTATTTTGTTTTGTAGTCCATGTGGGAGCAAAGGACAGCCGTGAATTAC